GTTAAATGTAATTAATGTTTACTATGATGATGCTTTATTATGAACATTTTTGAGGATTCCTATTGAAAGGATTGTGGAAATTGTTCACTGGAAAACACTGAGGAGTTACCTGGACTCTTTTTTTTATAAAAAGCCGGTCTCAAGAAGGGAGCACACTGAGACTTGATTTTTTAAAGGTATTTCTTGGCGGTCATGTGGCTTAAACTAATTGCATGGACTTATTTACTGGAAATCACATGATGAGGTTTATGGCTGTCAGGAGTTCGTTTTTGCTGAAGGTACTGTTTGGGATACAGCCTGTGGGGAGAAAAGTTATCCAGTTCATTCTCTAACTTTTTGAAAAAAACCTTTTTGAGAGTCCAGCCTAATCTAGTTCTTATGCTGAAAAGTCTTTGAAAGTGTTCTTGATATTTCTGCAACAAACTGTGTCTGCAAAGTTCCCTGTGAAATCGCCTATGTTTAGTGGCACCAGTCTACTGAAGGCTGACTGAAAGCCATCTTAAACATTTCATATCTATTCACTTTTCTTTCAAAAACTAACAAACATTGACTAAAGTGTTCTATTATTCTCTAAGTTAATGTCTACAATGAAACATACCTTTTGTTTGCACGTGTGTCTTGTGTGTGTGTGTGTGTGTGTGTGTTGGATTATTTAGAAGGATTAATATTTGAACTTGCATATTTCAAACTGTACGTCAATCAGATTTGCATCTGTGTTGAATAAGTCTTATTTCATAATAAACCAATAACTTTGTTGATTATTAAAGAAACTTCTGATGGATCTTTTATTTCTAAGCCTAATTTAGATAAAGTTCTAACTGGCCATATCTGTAACTAGCTAAAGCATTTAAATTTATGTTGTGATCAGTGGACCTTGACAGTAATATGTTGACTAAGTTTACTACCTTGATTGTGAAAAGAATAGGTCCACAGGGTAAAATGATTTCTCCTACCAGGTACAACAAGCAAGTAATATGTAGAAATGATGTGCATCTGACATGGGCTTTTTTTGGAACCTCTGGTTTACATTGTATAACTTGTATATTCGCCCCTTGGCATTTTGCAATTTTGCATACATAGTAGGTCATCATTCCTGACTGCGGCAAATAGTTGTCATGACTAACTCTGTCTTGCCTTCCTTTCCCATGATATTTAATGAAACTGTACTTGTATTTGCACTCTTTTTAAATATTTTCCTGGACATGGTACTTCATTCAATGTTAAGCACTTTGAGATGTCCAGTGGTTGCAAAATGTGCTAGATAAATATAAGTCCTTTTCTCTTTAATTTCTGTGCTAACTGCTTAAATATTCACATTTAATGTAATGTTGAATTCATCTCGCGGTGCCTTTTGGTTATTCATATTGACCAACAGGTTACATCATGAGGATCTATTAGATTTTGAAAAGGATTCGATATAATAGATTTAGAGATGTTCCCATTTGTGGGAAGTCAAACACTAGAGGTCATAAATAATGTTAGTAATTAAAATGTGAACATTTCACCTGTCTAAATGCCAGTATAAAGGACCCTCTCTTGTTCTTTCCTTAATTCTGACCTGTCCAATATGGTATCAGACAATTGCAGGATGCTGGATGTCTACAGAGAGGCCTATTTTATACAGTTGGGTGAGGGAAACTTATATTTTCCAGCTCATTCAATTCAGTGCTTAAAATGGAAATCCCTTCCAAACAAAAATCCCCCTGAACAGGTTGCAGATTGTGTTCAAACAGTACACTGCAATGATTAAATTCAATTATTAAGCTAAGATTAATATATGTATGAACACAAGAACAATAGCTTTACAAATTAATTTTCTAGGTGACTGTTGACCAATCATTTTGCCAGTCACCACTGAACGACAAGCTGAATTTATTTAGCGTCCTGAGATGCTTCATAGGAGCATGTTCAGATCAAATTTGATAATGAGCCATGTAAGGAGATAGCTTAGCCAAAGAGGTAGGTTTTAAGAAGTGCTTTGAAGGGGGAAAAGAGGGACAGAGTGCTGAAGAGTTTTAGGAGGGAATTCTAGAGCTTAGGGTCTGGACAACCAATGGTACAACAGCAGATAGTTGTGAGATGAAAATTAGGAATACACTAGAGATCAAAATTGGAAGCATGGCGTGATCACAAGAGTTGATCGGACAAGAAGAGGTTACAGAAATAGGGAGAACTGACAACATGGAGAGATTTGAAAACAAGGATTAGATAGCTGAAAGCAAAGTTTCCAACCATGGGAGGAAATAAATAAGCAATGCATAAATGGCCAGAATTGGACAAGTAGAGTAATGTAGGAGAATTATAGGTGGAAGAGAAATAATCTTATCCACAGATCCATATTGGAGTTTGGGTCAAATTTATCTGCTACATGGATTCAGTATCCACAGTGGCCTGTTTAGGTCAAATCCCTGTGCTACACCATATTTATCCTATTCCAATAGAATATTTCAATCTAACAAGACTCCAACTATCCAACGCTGGATTCTGAAAGGATTATTTGTTTGCCAAATTTTTACACTTACGTAAAGTTGAAGTTACATTTAGCAATCAAGGGATAAACAACACCATCGACAACTGGAACCAAGATCAGAATGAGGATTGGGTTGGCTGTCTGTGCAAAAGTCAGAAACAAAATCAATCAGATTGTGTCAAGAGAACCAGCTACTGTACACAAAGTTCATCTTGAGAAATTAAATTGTTAAATAATAATCACATACCTGCATCTGATCAGGTTGGATGTCAATGCCTCCCTAAACAAAAGAAAATGTTTAATAGTAAGTATAAGCCCAATTTAAAAAAAAAAAAATTGTTGTAAGTGCATCATGTTAAAGTCTTAATTAGTATCTTACGAAATTTCCATTCATTCTGGTAGCTTGAAAGGTCCACCTTGAGCCCTGTATGGAAATTCACAATCATTAAAGATCACACCTCTTTACAAGAGATTCAAAATTAGTTAGTTCCATCATACACAGAACCTCGGGCACAAAAACTTGACTTTCAGTGCAGTATTGAAGGGGGCTGAATGATCAGAGGAACTGTCTATGTGACGAGACCCTAAACTGAGGTCCTGTTTGCCCACTCTGGTGGACTTGAAAAGCTTTGTGGCACCATTTCTATGCCCACAAATGTGAATTCAGGATGGTATGTTGCTTGCTTCGTGCCAGGGGTAGATGCGGAGCACCCTGAGAGGGCAGAGTGAACAACAAGCAGTCATGATCCACATTGATACTGACGACATGGTTAAGAAGAGGGACGTGGTCCTTCAGTCATGATTTAGGGAACTAGGTCAGAAATTAGCAAGCATGACTTTAAAATAACAGTAATCCCCAGATTACTCCCAGTACCATCTACACGTGAGTATGAAAATTGGAAAACAAAGCAGGTGAATGCGTGGCTGAAAAGATTATGCAGGAAGAGGGCTTTAGATTCCTGGAATATTCAGACAGCTGTGCAGAAGATGGGATCTGCCACTGGAAAGGTTGTACCTAAACAGAGCCATGTCCAATTTCCTTGCAGGACTGTTTGCTAGTGTCATTAGGAATAGTTTAACTAATTTGGCAGCATGTGGGAACAGAAAGTAATAACAGCAAAGAATATCATTGTAATCAACATACTGGGAGAGACAGTTAGCACTAGAGTGTGAGATAGTATGTTATTATGCAGGATCAGAGTAAGGAAGAAAATAATAAAGTCTATATTAGCATTATACTGCCTGTATGTGAATGTGCAGAATTGGTGAGTTATTGATGCAGATTGTCATGCAGAAATATGATACTATGTCTATAACAGATGTGGCTCAAACAAGGATAAGACTGGGCATTAAATATTCACAGATACAAAGCAAAGATAGGAAAGGGAATAAAATGTAATGGCATTGATATAGATGAACAGTTCTAGAGAAAAAGAATGAGGGATCAAGGACAAAATCAATTTGGTCACAGCTAAGGAATCAAAATGCAATTACATTGCTCAACTTTACCTTATAGGCTAATAAATAATGGGATGGATGTAGAGGAATAAATTTGCAAGGAATTTACCAATAAAACATGTAGAATTTAGTGATTACCCATATCATACACTTTAGATTTGATATAGAAAAAAACAAGGAACAATTCAGAGTAAGAATAATTGACTGGCTGAAATTCAACTTCAATAGGGTAAGAATGGATCTCTCACAGACAAATTAAAAGCAAAAACTGACTAGCATAACTGCAACCTACCTGTTGATCAAATAAAGCCCAGAACATAGGCAATGGAAGATACAGAAACAGCACCCTCAGCACCATCTTGACCTGAGCAATCAAATGTTCCTAAACCAATTGATTAAAAAGAACAAGAATGAGACTAAGGCAAAGAGACTCCTATCTGATATGTCTATTTCCCTAGATATGATGTGACTGGATTGCTGACTATCAGACTTGGTGGCATCAATTCTCTCACTACATGAAACAGCGAATGTGCACAAAGCCATTAAGAGCAAGGTAAATGATGGAGACATATTTACTACGCAGACACAGTTACAATTTCAAATATAATACACCAGCTTATCCATCAAGAACACCTAACAGCAGTAATAGGTTCATCATTGATTTCAGCTATGTGTTACATGGTTGCTGACATGTTTTCCGTTCTGATACATTTTCCATGCTGACACATTCACCACTCAGACAGATACACCACACAGGCAGATACACCACACAGACAGATTCACTACACATACAGATTCACCTCACAGGCACAGACACATTCACCACACAAACAGATACACCACACAGACACAGGTATATGGGGATGTGATGGGTGAGCAGTATTATCAGTATATTGTTAATCCAGAGATCCAGGTAATGCTCTGGGAACCTGGTAATGAATCCTGCCATGGCAGATCATGGAATCTGAATTCAATAATAAAAAATCTGGAATTAAGAGTCTAATAATGGGCATGAATCTGCTGCGAATTGTTGAGAAAAACCCATCTGGTTCACCAATTTCCTTTAGGGAAGGAAACTGCTGTCCTTACCCACTCTGGCCTACATGTGACTCCAGATTCAGAGGAAAGTGGTTGACTCTTACCCTTCATGGGCAGTTAGGGATGGGCAATAAATGCTGGTCTATACGTTAATGTATAAACAAATTCACTATGAAGACATATTTATCATATGGACACTTTTGCGATGCTGACATTTTACTATGCTCACACATTTATCATGCTGACTTTTCTTCCAATGAGCTCTCTCGGATTTTGAACACTACTTATTCCTTGACTGTTACAGAATAACAAGACCATGAAGTGGTGACTTTAAATTAGAAAAACAATTATTAAAAATATTGACCTAAGTAACATCATTACACCCCAGCCAAAGCATCAGTTACATGGAAACACTGGAGAAGCTGAAATGTGCTCCTTGTTATAGGAAGGATAAAGGAAAGTTAAATAAGAATTAGGGGCGCGTTCGAATTGAGTGTATGGTGTGAAATATTTTTATTGGCAGGTAACTATAGGATATAGATTTAATGTAATTGGCAAAACGAGCAGAAGGCCTTCTTTAACATAGTGAGTTACTTTGATCTGGAATGTGCAGACTGGAGGCAGATTGAATAGGAACTTTCAAAAAGCGATTGGATAAAGTCTTCAAGGGGAAAAGATTGTCAGACTATGAGGGAAGAACATTGGAATAATTGGAGACTTCCTTTGAAGAGACGGAACAGGCATGTTGATATGCTTCTATGATTGGCAACTTACAAAAGAAAAGTTCAATCCACAAACTCACATCATATTTCTCCGTAGCCCAGTCCATAAAGTGCTCTCGTTTGGGGTATTGCTTGCTACGATGCCTGAATCTGTTCTTTAGAGCAAACTGTTGAAAAACAAAGAATAAGTTAAAATAAATATTATTGACAATGTTACATTGCATGCTCAAGGAAACCTAACCAAGTTAAGTCTGGCACTTTATTGTTTACTCACACCTAAGGGATACTATCAATGAAAGAGAGGGAAAATGGTAGGTCAGTGTGTGTTGGTGGGACATGGATTGATATACTTGAGTTTCCAATTCCAGTTTCCTTCCATGCATGGGATCTGGCATTAAAAACTATATTATCTGAGTCTTCCAGCATCAGGGGCAAGCTGTTAACTTGAACTACAATGTTTCACCTCTGGAGAGCCCTATCTTGAACACTAATGATTTTAAACATTTTGAATATAAAGTATTTTACAGCGCTGGAACAGGCCATTCAGCCCCACTCTGCTAGTGTTAATGCTCTGCACAAGATACCTACCAACCCTTTTCATCTTATGAGTAGCCTTCTGCTTCATTGATTCAATAGGTAGCATTCTCACCTCTGAGTCACAGCTTTGCGATTTCAGTTTCAAAGACAGAGTCACATAATTCTGAGCCATCCAGTGCACTATGAGTGCTGCAGTGTCAGAGGTACTGTCTCTCAGATGAGATATTGAATTCAGATCCTCTCTGTGCTGTCAGGTGCATGAAAAGATCCCACGGCCACTATTTCAAACAGAGTTAGTGACTGCTCCTGGTGTCCTTGCCAATACTTATCCATCAGAGAGCATCATATCACATTGCTGTTTGCGGGAGCTTGCTGTGTATAAGTTAGCTGGAACATTTTCTACATCATATCAGTCACTACACAATAAAAGTATTTAATTAGGTATCAAACGAATTTGGGACATCTGTCGTTGTTAAAGGAAGTGTACAAACCTCCTTTCCTCCTATTGCTGTCTTCCTCTTGTATTCATGAGTTTTAATGCAAATGTGTTAATCACCTCAATTTTTCCCAAAAGTCTACACTGTGATGAGGTTTTCCTCATGTTATGTTTGTCTGTGTTACAGACAATTGATGGAAACTAATTAATAAGTAATTCCATGGATGTTTTGTCAGATGACTACCAAGACAGTAGAAAGTGAACGAGATGGAATTTGGACTTTATTTAGCCATTAGTTCCCATGGAATTGTGCCACTATAAGATGTGCTGGTTGGGAATTGCCAATCCTATTTCATATAAGAACTTGGATGAGGACACTGCAAATCAAGTTTGCATGGCACACAACACTAGAAGTTACCAATATTTTGAGTTCTGCTATACACCATGCACCAGCAGTGATATGGATGCACCTGTAACTTCACAGGTTAGGGAGTAACCAGCGTGGGAACACATGCCAAATATTAGAAGATACATCTCCCCTAATTATTGAGAAGTCAAAGGCATTTGAGACTCAATGTCTAAATGATGTTGTAGATAGTGCTGAGATGCCCTGGTCTGGCATTGAGGAGAGAGACAGACTAGAAAACCAGGGAGGAAAGGTTGAAGACAAAGAAAAGGGGAAGAAAGAAGTCAACGTTTCTAAGACTGATAGTGTGCTGGACATAAGGTTGTCTGTTTTGCAATTCAACATGAAGTAAGCCAACATGATGGAAACTTTTGTGATCAAAGCTCTGAGCAACACAGGAGAATCACTGCAAACTGTGGCTATTTTTCCACAATGGATCTAATGTCCAGGCCTTTTCTTGTGGAGCAATGCAACGTTAGAGGCAATTGATATAATACAACTGCTAATAATTCAAATCAGGAATTCATGAGAAACTTCTTTACCCACGCAGCAAGTGGTGAGAATGTGGAAATTGCTATCTTAAAGAGCGATGAACAGGATAAGCAGACATGCATTTAAGGGGAAAACAAGTGAATAAATGAAGGAGAAAGGAATAGAAAGTGATGTTGAGGGACAAGGTGAAGTAAGGTGAAGGAGGATTGTGTGGGGCCTAAGCACCAGCACAGATGTTTTGAGCTGAATGGCCTGTACTGTGATATAGAATTCTGTGTTCAAGGTAATGCTCTCAAGAGGTTGGACATTGTAACTCAAGTTAGCAGTTTGTTCCCATTATCAGGAATCAGTGAACATAAATCTTTAAATGCCGAATCCAAAACTGATGTAAAATATGTCTTCTCCCTGATGTGCTAGCTATTTCAAACATGTTTCCTTATTCTGCATTGCATTCTTCATGGTGAATTTTAAATCAAACTTTGTCACACCTCCCCATTGTGTAATATTGTTCTCTCCACTAACTTTTTGCAAAAATGCAAGTCATTCCATGGCTATCACAAATAAAAAGGCTGATATGTTATTTTGGCATGCACAACGTCCAAGGGTACAAGTTTAGTTTCCTAAGAGTCAGTCTACTATTGCAATTTACAAGGAAATGGTAATATAAGGATTAGGTGCGGTGCTCATAATTTAAAAATCTATGCAATGATCAAATCCCACTTTAGCAGCTAGGAATTTAAAATTCTTCCATTAAACCAGGCACCAGCATTGAGCTGGAGGTACCTGTACCTTTACAGATTAGGGAGCAACCAGGGTACGAACATACACCAAACACCAAAAGAAGCAAAGTCTGCAGACATTAAGGGGGATTAATTAAATAAATATGCGTTAAAAAAAACTATTGTTATAAAGGGTGACCATACAACTGTCAGATTGTCATTAAAAACATTTGGGTCACCAGTATCCTTTTTTAAGGGAAAAAAAATCTGTTGGCCTTTTCTGGTCTGGCCTACATGTGACTCCAGACCCACAGCAAAATGGTAGGCATTTAATTTCCGCCTGTGACAGCCTAGCAATGAAGGACAATAACCTTTTGGCCATTCCACTGGCACCCACATCCAATGAGTTCATTAAAAAAATAATTTTGCCACAAACACAAAACAAAAACTGCAGAAGAAGCCAATAAACAATGCAATCTTTCTCAGTATCCCACATTAATATTATCATTAGCCTGTAGCACTTATTTCAGTCTCACCACTTACCCATATGCACTTGGAAACTTTAAGTATAATATTCCCTTGGGGTGTAGATTTCCTGTACAAAGAACTTCCTCCTATGAATACCACTGAAACACATAATGTGACATGGTAAGTAGATTATAATTGTTTTGCCCAATATGACATGAAATGTATATATCCTTCTTTGATTACAGCATGGAATCTTTGTGCCAAGAGTATGCATTGGGAAATCACACATGGAAGGGTTTCTATCTCTAACTGTCCCTCTGGGATTTGATCACATGTACTCCATATCAAACTGTCCTACCCAGTCAAACAGCCCTCTCACCTCCTTCATATTTTCATAATAAGGGGGAGTAGGTCTAATAAGATAGCTCTTTCAAAGGGTTGGCAGAGATATGGTTGGCCAGATCGTCTCTTCCTGCACTGTGTCATTCCAGGTGAGCACATTCAAAGAAAATGTAATCAAAAAGTTGTAACATCCTTTACAACAGATTCTAACTCGAACATCTCCTCAACTCCTGCCATCCCTGAATTTGATTTTTATTCTTTCATGGGATGTGGGCATCACTGGCTGGGTCAGCGTTTATTGCCTGTCCCTAGTTGCCTTGAGAAGGTGGTGGTGAGCTGCCTTTTAGCACCGCTGCAGTCAACCTGCCATTGACCCACAATGATGTTAGGAGGAGAATTCCAGGATTTTGACCCAGCGACAGTGAAGGAACAGCAACATATTTCCAAGTCAGGATGGTGACAGGCTTGGAGGGAAACTTAAAGGTGGTGGTGTTCCCATATGTCTGCTGCCCTTGTTCTTCTAGATGGAAGTGGTCATGGGTTTGAAAGATGCTGTCTGAGGATCTTTTGTGAACTTCTGCAATGCATTTTGTAGATAGTACACACTGCTGCTACTGAGCGTCGGTGGTGGAGGGAGTGAATGTGGTGCCAGTCAATGGGCTGCCTTGTCCTGGATGGTGTCAAGCTTTTTGAGTGTTGTTGGGGCTGCACTCATCCAGGCAAGTGGGGAGTATTCCATCACACTCCTGACTTGTGCCTTGTTCATGGTGGACAGGCTTTGGGGATTCAGGTGGTGTGTTACTTGCCGCAGTATTCCTAGCTTCTGGTCTGCTCTTGTAGCCACCTTGTTTATGTGGTGAGTCCAGTTAAGTTTCTGGTCAATGGTAACCCTAAGGATGTGGACAGTAAGGGATTCAGTGATGGTAATACTATTGAATGTCATGGGGTGGTGGTTAGATTGTTTCTTATTGGCGATGGTCATAACCTGGCATTTTTGTGTCACAAATGTTACTTGCCACTTGTCAGCCCAAGTCTGAATATTGTCCAGATCATGTTCCATTTGAACATAGACTGCTTCATTACCTGAGGAGTCATGAATGGAGCTGAACAATGTGCAATCATCAGCGAACATGACCAATTCTGACCTAATGATGGAGGGAAGGTCAGTGATGAAGCAGCTGAAGATGCTTAGGCCGAGGACACTACCCTGAGGAACGTCTGCTGGGATGCTGTGGTTCTGAGATGATTGATCTCCAACAATCATGACCATCTTCCTATGTGCTAGGTATGACTCCATCTAGTGGAGGGTTTCCAGTTTTGCCAGGGATCCTTGATGTCACAATCAGTCAAATGCAGCCTTGATGTGAAGGGCTGTTACTCTCACCTCATCTCTGGAATTCAGCTTTTTAGTCCATGTTTGAACCAAGCCTGTAATGAGATCAGGAGCTGAGTGGCCCTGGCACACTGGCGTCACTGAGCAGGTTATCGCTGAGTAGGTACTGCTTGCTAGCACTGTTGGTAACGCCTTCCATCACTTTGCTGATGGTCGACAGTATACTGCTGGGGCAGTAATTGGTTAAGTTGGATTTGCCCTGCTTTTACTGTACAGGCCATACGTGGGCAATTTTTCACATTGTCAGGTGGATGCTAGTGTTGTAATTGTAATGGAAGATCTTGGTTAGGGGAGCGGCATGTTCTGGAACACAAGTCTTCAGTAGTATTGCCAGAATGTTTTCAGGGCCTATAGCTTTTGCAGTATCCACTGCCTCCAATCATTTCGTGTTGTCACGTGAAGTGAATCAAATTGGCTAAAGATGTGTGATGTTGGGGACCACCGGGGTGGTTGCAATGGATCATCCACTCGGCACTTCTGGCTGATGATTTCTATCTTATGCAGTATTGTGTTGGACACTTCCATCATCAAGGATGGGAATGTTTGTGCAGTTTCTTCCTCCACTGAGTTGTTTAATTAGCCATCATTCATGACTGGATGTGGCAAGACTGCAGAGCTTAAATCTGATCTGCTGGTTGTGGCATCGCTTAGCTCTGTCTGTTGCTTATTGTTTTCGCTGGTTGGCTTGTGAATGTGAAATACATGTTAATGGCTATCTCTAAGCGTGATACAAATTGTTGAAATACACCAGGACTTTTCTGGATTGGAAGAACATATGACTTACTCAAAGCAGCTGCCATCAGAGCTGCTGGCACTCCAAAGGCAAGGGGATAACACGCCTGGGGGACACGACCACAGTTTTGCCCTAAAATATGAAAAGTATGACAAGTTTACAACACACAAAAAAAAATGCATTATATTAGCATCACAACCGTTTCATCACAGTTGCAGGAAAAGAGGATTGATTAAGGCTCATGTCTTAAAGCGCCAAATGTCAAGGTTATGACTGAGAAGTTTGCAGAAAGTACAAAATTAGCCATGCAATTGATAGTGAGGAAGAACGATGCAGTGTTCAATCTTGAAAGCTGTGAGGTTATGCAGTTGTGAAAGGCAAGGGAACACACCATAAACAACAGCATACTGAGAAATATATAGGAACAGAGGGACCTCAGAGACTGAAGGACAGGCAGATATTCAGGGCAGGAAGGCAAACTATATAATTTCCTTTGTTATCCCATAAAATTTAGGAGCTGGGAAGTTATGTTCAGAAAACATAAAACAGGAATGCAACTGCATCTAGAGTCCCACAGTCACTACATGACACAAAGGATGTGATCACAGTAAAGAAGATACGGAGGAGATTAATGAGGATGTTGCCCAGAATGGAGAATTTAAATATGAGGAAAGGTCGGATGGGATGAGGTTGTTTTATTTTGGAATAAAGGAGGCTGAGGGTAAATTTAAAGGTGTATAAAATCATGAGAAGCTTAAGTAGATTGGATAAGTGGCACCTATTCCTTATCATCGAGAAGCTATCAACCAGGGGACGTAGATTTAAAGTAATTGGAAGAAATTTGAGAGGGGAGTTGGACAGTGGTGAGATCTTGGAACTCACTGCCTGAAAGAGAGGCAGAGGCAGAAACATTCAGCTTATTTTAAAAAAAAGCCTTGGATATGCACTTGAATTTCTGTAACCCACAGGGCTACAAACCAAGAACTGGAAAGTGGACAACACTATTTCAGCAGTGCGGATATGATGACTGAATGGCCTCTTCCTGTGCCATGGACCTTCCATGTTTTTACGTCCCTATCTCATGAAATTTTGATTTCATTTCAAAGAAGTGGAAGTTAGTTTAGTTGCACAAAGTTCAGAGGAGGTCCCATTTGGAGTAACTGTATTCACTGCTTTCATTTCAGGAAGGATATACCTTTGAGAAGACACAGCAAGGATTCACCAGAATGATAATGGGGCTGAAAGGATTAAATATAGATTAGATTTATATTCCCTGAATATAGACAATGAAGTTGCAGCCTCATTGAGTTGTTCAAGATGATTAGTGGATTTGTTAGAGTTGATTGAGATAAATTGTTCCCTCTCTTAATTAAATCCAGAACAAGGAGGCAGAACCTTATAAGTGGAGTTTGGACATTCTAGGGAGAGGCACTTTTTCACACAGAGGGTAGTGATAATCTGGAACTCTCACCCTTGATAAAAAAAATCTGTTGAGGCTTTGGATCAATTGGGAAAATATCAAAACTAGTGTTCAGTTCTGGTCTTCCTGTTATAGGAAAGATGTTCTTAAACCTGAAAGGGTTTAGATAAGATTTACAAGGATGTTGTCCACATTGGAGTGTCTGAGCTAAAGGGAGATGCTGAATAGGCCTGGGCTTTTCTCCCCAGAGAATCGGAGGCTGAGGGATGACGTTATAGAGGTTAATAAAATTGTGAGGGGCATAGATAAAGTGAATAGCCAACGTCTTTTTCCCAGGATGGGGGCACCCAAAACTGGACAGCATAGATTTAAGGTGAGAGGGGAAAGACTTAAAAGGGACCCAAAGGGCAACTTTTTGACACAGTGAATGGTGCGTGTATGGAATGAGCTGCCAGAGGAAGTGGTGGAGGCTGCTACAATTACAACATTTAAAATGTATCTGTATGGGTACATGAATTGGAAGGGTTTAGAGGGAAATGGGCCAAATGCTGACTAGATCAGTTTAGGATATCTAGTCAGCATGCTATGACTCTATGACTCTAATATTAATAGATTGTTGTTAGACCATGATATTAAGGATTAGGGAATCAAACCAGAGTAAATATACAGATACACCCTGAAGAACAAGCTTTCAGGTTTGAAGACCTTGTCCAGTCCCAATGTTGTAATATTGAAATCAGGCTATGATCTGAAACTGCCATTGGCAAAAGGCCTGTATTTCTGGGTGATGTGAAAAATGGACAAAGAAAATAATTGCATGCAGAAATTTGCAGAAATTAAGGGCACACATGCAAGATTATTTGCAATTAATGTCATCAGTTTTCAATCAAATGATGATGAACAAAGAGTTTGCTTTTTTTTTGCCTTTCCAACAACCATTTTGCAATTTATGTTTTGACTTTGACACCGGCTTCATTAAGCAAAGCCAACTACTGCCTACCTCTCAGGATGGGCGTAATAATGGTAGAAATGAGACTTCCAGCATTGATTGATAAATAGAAAATTGAGAAGAACCTTCCCCTTTGATTTTCCTTTGGAGAGAGAAGAAAACATTGACTTCAACAGCAGAAGAAACCAAAAAGTACTTTAAGATATTTAGGCAAATTCATGCTCACTCTTTGATGCAAGGGCATTGACACATCTCCTGCTGTCATTTGCTACCTCGAATTGTTGCTGAAGTAACAATGAGTTTATGAGCCTGTACTGTTACTAAATCCTCCTGTGACCCAGAAGAGATTCCTGTGAGTTGTGAAACTGCACAAGTTACTGCATCATTAGCTCTGCTATTAGCCTATGGAAGTAGCCACGTGTGTTTTAGGAAATTATTGCATGTGTGCAATATTTATTCCAAATCACTACTGAAGGTTATGAATGCTACAATGTAAAGACCATTTTAATGAGAAGATTTCCATTACTGCAACACACTCCTCCCTTCTGAACCAAAACGGAAACATTTGAAATTGTTCATTCCAACATGTAGAAAATAAGAAATGTTAAGATTTCAGATTGCTTTCTTCCTTTTCCTCCTTGTGCTTTTTTCACACTCTTCTGATCCAACCTTTCTTTGCTTCTATTTCACTTTGTCTTGCTAATTTATCTCCAGTTTACCCAATTGCCTTTTCGCTGTCATTCCATGTTTCTTTCCTAAACCTTAAATCCAATTTATGAAGGAGAAAGTCTGTTCGTCTTAACATTCTCAGAAGTCCCCAGCACTCCGTTGTCCTCATATTCCCAGCGGAATTATGGGCCAGATAATAATTTTGCGCTGCTTGGATACAGTCACGGGATTAAGCAACAAGCCTTTTGTGAGATCATCCATTCTGACAACCATGCCTCTTGGAATGTTAATGCTTGATTAATGTCTTTACATGACTGTTACAGCTGATAAAAATGAGCTTAAACTTAATGTTACCTGGTGTTCTTCAAACTGGTCACCACCAAATGCTGACACACAAGGTTTGATACCGCCAGTGCCCAAAGCAATAAGAATCAGACCAACTACTGCCAAAGCTCTGAAGAAAGAAACAGCAGCACATTCAATCTACAAACATAGACACGACTAGTTGTTACCAAGTGTTGGCTATGGCTCAGTGGTCGCACTCTTTCTCCTGAATTAGGTGCTTATGGATTGCATAGATTGAGTGCACAGTTGAGGCTGGTACTCCTCATGCAGTACTGAGTGAATGTAAAACCACTGGAGGGGCTTGTCTTTCAGATTAAACCGACGGTTCTGTCCATCCTCTTGGATGGATGTAAAAGATCACATTGCCGCTTTTTCAAAGAAGGACACGGGAATTTTCCCAAGCGTCCCAGTCAATATTTATCCTTAAGCCAAATTATCTGGTTACTATTACATCACAGTTTGTGGGAACATTGCCTGCTGTGTTTACAACATTTACATCAGGGATCACTCACCAACAACATGGAATTACTTATCCAGTTCTCTGAACATAATGAGATTATGAAAGATGCCAAGTCTTTAATTCTTAATAGCATCCTTTGCTTGTGATGCTTTAAATTATTAATGAGTCTCTCAATTCGTATTCTGTCATTTTGATTAAAATACAAAAGATTCCTTACTTTTTGAAACACTCACCAACAATCCTTAAAGAAAATATAAGAAGTTTCACTTCCAAGAAGCTATGTTGAAACTTGTATTTAACATCATTGAAGAAAAGCTAAAAGGTTTTTTAAACCTAGCGATGGCCGAACACTAGATCAATTTGGCAGATATGTTAATAGATTTAAAGTAAATTACAACAAAAAAAAGGACCATTGCAGAGAATTACATAAAATTTACAGCATAGAAACAAGCCATTCAGTCCATTCCAGCTAACTGCCACTGTTTATACTTGATGCAAGGTTCTTTCAACCCCTTTTTATCTCATCCTTCTATTCCTTTCTCCCTCATGTGTTTTTCCTAATGTGTCTTTCCAGTTTTTCCTTAAATGCATTCATGCAATTCACCTCAACCACCCCTCAAGATAACTAACCCCAAATTCCACATTCTTGCCACTTTCTGGGTAAATTCTCCAGAAATTTGTATTAAATTTATGAGTGACAATCTTACATGTATGAGCCCTGGTTACTCTTCAACGTCTCCTGTTGTGTTATGGCATGGATTTCAGACCAGACAGGTAGAGGTGCCTTTAAGACAATTACATGATGTCACAACATGTGATGTTCTGGTATAAAGGGAGTTGCCTTGCCTTCAGTCAAACTCTCAGTGCAATGGAGTCAGTGTAATGTGTTTATACAGTCACACGTGTATGTCACGTACAATAACTTCAGTGAGCACCAAATCTAGGCTAGGTATAAGTCAATGATATTATCACAAGGTTAATAGTGTGATTGATAATCTTCAAGACATCTATCTCAACAGGAACACCATCTTTGTGGTGTATGTTACACCAGCTAATACTCAGGGAATGACTTAAAGCATAACATACTGGCATAACAAGGTGTACAGCTGGATGAACACAGCAGGCCAAGCAGCATCAGAGGAGCAGGAAAGCTGACGTTTCGGGTCTAGACCCTTCTTCAGAAATAACATACTGGCAGTTGTGTTTGTCCCAAGGAATGACATTATAGTGGCATTTCATTTCTACACTCCAGAAAAGGGGCACAGCCTGATCAATGCTTCCTGATTGTCATTACTCAGCCTCTATAACATCATTATAAAGTGATGACCATTATCAAGTATTGTGCTCTGAGTGTGGTGGTCTAACCAAATTTTAATACAAAATTGGCATAGCTTCCTTGCTTTTCCACCTAGAATTGAACCCCAGAACTTGGCTGAATTTTTATGTTCTTGTTAACCTCCATTGTTAATTTACTCACATATGAACAGCTGGATTATTTGGATGACCATCGTTGTTAATATCTGTAATATCTGCAATGCTGCTGACAGATATCACCAGTTGCCCAATTGTGTAGACAATGGACAGGTAGACGATGGTCCTGTTATGAAAGAAAGTTAAATTTAATTCAGACAAAGGCATAAAAAAGTTCAACTCATTCATTAAAGTATTAAATGCATGGCCCAAACTGGTTAATAAAACCATACACAAACTAATAGTCTCCCTTCCTGGCAGCATTGGAAAAATTTTCCACAATGTGCAACCACATACAAAACCACAATGTCTGACTTGCAAATCTGCTCATTTATATTCCTACATCTCACCTCTTTGCAGTACAAATCGCTGTTATGGTGATCTCCTGTGCTAGAAAAGAATGGTCAACTTCATTATTTTGCTAGTAACTGGCCTATGTGTGCACGGAGACCAGAGTAACAGAAACAGAAGGGCCATTCGGCCCTTTGAGCCTGCTGTACCATTCAATATTGTCATGGCTGACCATCCAACTCAATACTTTGTTCCCACTTTCTTTACATATTCTTTGATCACTTTAGGCCTAAGAACTGTATATAGCTCCTTCTTGAAAACATTTAGTATTTTAGCTTCAAATGAGCTTTTACTTCTACTTGGTGTCATGGGTTATTGGCTTCATAGGTTTTGGCAGGTTCAGTTTTAACCTCACTCACTCACTGGCCTTTACACCCAAAAATACTCTCCGTTGAAATCAGTGGCCAGCATGATCAAACAAGCTGCAAAACCAGCATTCCAAATGATCCAAAGCTACCAGACCAGTTAGCTTGAAATTAGTTCATGATTTCACTTGTCCCTTGAGACTGGTTGGAACAACAGAACGATGTGTCTTGCAGTTGTAACTCCCATTTGCTTAGTGTGAGAGAATGGAAGACAATTCCAGACCATCCAGTATAAATGGATTCAGAAAGGCAAAAATATTCTGTGCTATTATTAGCAAACTGTCAATATCATTAGCATCACCAGACACATGTTTTGGTTCTGCTGTGAAATTGATCAGCTGTCACATGTACTACAACCTCTGATAACTGTGATTAAGAGTGACACCATACTAGTTACATCACTGAGCTAGGGTTCCAAAGGTTAGGATGAATGATTTTGGTGCAGCAGGATTAAACTCTACCGTAGCAGCTGGGGAACTTGAATGTAATTAATCAAGCCAATCTTGAATTCAAAGTCGAGACTCAGAAATGCTGATCATACGACTAGCAGATTATTGTACAAATTCATCTGGTTTACTTCCTTCAAGGAAGGAAATCTGCTTTTCCTTACAAAGTCTAGCTTACACAAGGCTTCAGATCCATAGCAATCTGGTTGGCTCTTAACTATATATGAAATGTATGCATTAAATATGCAACTTAATTGTATCGAGGAAGGTGGCTCACCACCACTCTCCTGAGGACAATTAGTGATGGACAATAAATTGAGGCCTTGTCAGTGATGCTCATGTTCTGTGAATGGATTTAAAACCTTGGGACTTCCTTTGAATCACATACCACGAAGGAAGGCATATGCATTTATGCCAGTCTTTAAAGGAATTATTTCATTCACCTGCTGTTTTCCCATTACCCTGCAAATTTTCTGTCCAGTTCATGTTAAAAGTCAATGTTGAATCCACCCCCACAATCCTTTGAAGCACTACACTTCAATTCACAAGAACTCACAGTGGCTTCTTCCTCATCTTCCTCTCCCTTTCATTGCTAATCATCTCAAGTCTGTGCCTCCTGGTTACTGACCTTCCTGCTGGTTTCTCCTTATTTAATCTATCAAAACATTTCAAGCTTTTAGAATACCTCTATCAGATCCACACTTAATATCCTTTATTCTAAGGAAAGCAGTTTCAGCTTCTTCCATTTCTGCAGAGTACTGAAATTGCTCGTTCCTGGTCCCATTATGGTTAATCTCCACTGCTCCCGCTCCAGAGCCTTGACATCCTTCCTGTTTTTTACAGTTGATTCTTTTCATGAGATGTGGCAAAGCCAACAAATTATTGCCTGTCTCTATTTGCCCTTGATCTGAGTGGCTGGCAAGGCCATTTCAGAGGGGAGTTATGGGTTAATCATATTGCCAGTCTAGAGCCAGACTAGGTAAGGTTGGCAAATTTCCGTCCCTGAAGAGTGTTAGTGAATCAGATGGGTTTTTATGACAAATGACAATTTCACATCCACACATTTTATTCTTATGAGTTGAATTGAAATTCTACCAGCTTCTGATTGTCACTATGGTACTGTTTCACTCCGGAGAAATGGTAAGCGTGTTGAAATTGTAAAGTGTAGTGCACAGAATTTGATACAATGCTCCAGATGAGGTCTAACCAGCGATATTTAAAGATGGAGCACAACTTTTTCGCTTTTGTACTTTTCATAATGCCCAAGGTCCTGTGTTTTTAAAACTAGCCTTATTAACCTGTTTTGCTGCCTTCAAAAATTTACATACATAAATTCCAAATTCCATGTGCCTGCCATTCTCTTTAAATTTTATTGCTGTTATATATTTGCTTGTTAAGTATTATTGTTTTTAAAATACTTACTTGAATTTTCCCAACCAGGAGTCAGCGATGATTGCTCCAAGGATTGGTGTTAAGTAACATAGAGCAACAAAGGCATGATAAATGGCAGTTGCGAAATCCTCACTCCAGTGCAGAAAATAACGGAAATAAAGGACAAGCACAGCTGAATAAAGAAAACAAATAAGACAGACTTGTTAGATCACAAGACTCAGTTGTTAACAAGTGTTTCATCTTTATTAAAAATAGCATGCTAACATGGAGGCATTGAACTGTATTGTTACATAATGTTAAATATCATGTTCTCTCCTATTGTTCTTTAGATTTGTATTTTCAAGCTTCCTCATCTCTGTCCGTTTCACCTATTCTCTACCAAAACCTTTGTCTATGTCTTTACTTACTCAGGACTTGACTAACCCAATGCTCTCCTAGCCAGACTCCACCTTAATTCCGGAACAAGAACAGAGTTGCTGGAAAAGCTCAGCAGGTCTGGCAGCATCTGTGAAGGAAAAAAGAGTTAACGTTTCGGGACCGCCTCAGAATGCCTTGGTTTTAAAATTCTCATTTTCATGTTCAAATGGCTCTATGACCTTGCCCCTCATTATCTCTCTAATCTCTTCCAGCCCTATAATCCTCCAAGGACTCTGTACTCCTCCAATTGTGGCCACTTGTGTATTCCTGATTTTAATTACTGTGCTGTTGGCAGATATGTGTTCAGCTGTCTAGGCCCTAAGCTCTGAAATTTCTTCCCTAAACTTACCTGTCTTTCTACCTCTCTCTCTCTCTCTCTCTCCCGCCTCCTTTAAGGTATTCACTAAAACTTAACTTTTTTCTGAGCTTTTGCTCACCAGTCTAAATATCTCCTTTTGCAACCCAGCATTAAATTTAAATCTAGTAACCTGGCTAAGAATTGCCTTCAGATGTGCTATTAAGTTAATGGCATTTTGTAACTGCAAGTTGTTGTTGCTGGTTGGAATTGCTTGCTGCAAAGATTTTATGCACAGTCTCATTTTTAGTCATGTTAATAATTAGGATGAAGGATTGCAGTTACCACATTCATTGTTCTATAAGTGGACACACTTCAAATATTTGTTCAATCTTGTACATCTGAAGACTAAGAGAACAATTTCTTTATAAGTCTCAAGGTTATTATAGCATGCAAAATGTAACGTACCTCGCATTCCATAGTAGGAGAACCTTTCACAGAATTCATTGACCACGATGAAGAAGATGCTGATGGGAAATCCGAAACAGCTGGGCTGTGAGGAAGCAAACAAACGAAAATTGATCTTTATCAAAAGTTCCAATAAATCTAAATGTCTGTCCACCACAACAAAATAACTAGATAACAAGATGTGACTAACTGTCCAATGTAGAACACTTGGTTTTGAGAATCTATAACCTATATATTTACCTCAAACAGATTTTTATGGACAACTAAGCTATTGTATTGTGCAAGTTAATCATTGCTTGCTGATGTGACAGAAACATCTGACTGAAAGCAATTTAAGACTTGCACCTATATAACTCCTTCCATAATTTCCTCAGAGCCAGCAAAGTAGTTTTTGAAGTGTGTCCCTAGCCAAGCTGTTCCAATATAGCTACGTTTCTGGCATCTAGCCTGTAGTGCGGAAAGTTGCCCGTTGTATCTTGTACATAAAATGCAGAATGAATCTAACTCAGCCAACTACTGCACCATCAGTTTACTCTCAATCATCAAGAAAGTGATGGAAGGTGTTATTAACAGCATTATCGTGAGGAACTTGCTCAGTAATAATCTGCTCAGTGACGCTCAGTTTGGGTTCACCAGGGTCACTCTGCTCCTGACCTCATTACAGCCTTGTTTTAAACGTGGATAAAAGACTTGAATTCTAGACGTGAGATAAGAGTGATTGCCCTTGACAATAAGTTCACATTTGACAGAGTGTGTCATCAAGGAACCCCAGCAAAACTGGAGTCAGTAGGAATCAGGGGAAAATTTTCCACTGGTTAAAGTCACACCTGGTACATTGGAAGGTGGTTGTGGTTGTTGGAGATCGGTATCTCAGCTACAGGACATCGTCAAAGGCACAACCCTCTTCAGTTGTTTCATAGCATCCCGACAAGTGTGGAAGCAGGCCATTCAGCCCATCAAGTCCACATTGACATTCCAAAGAGCATCCCATCCAGACCCACCCTTTCCTGGAAATACTGCCTTTTCCATGGCTAATCCACCAGCATGAATATTCCTGGTCACTATGGGGCAATTTAGTATAGCCAATCCACCTAACCTGCTCATCTTTGGACTGTGGGAGGAAACTGGAGCACCCGGAAGAAATCCACACTGACACGGGGAGAACGTGTGAACTTCATACAGACAGTCACCTGAGGCTAGGATCGAACCAAGGTTCCTTGCACTGTGAAGCAGCAGTGCTAACCACTGAGCCACAATGCCACCCTGATCAGTAATGACTTTCCCTCCATAATAAGATCAGACATGGGGATGTTCATGGACGATTGCATAGTGTTCGACACCATCTGAGACTCCTCAGATACTGAAGCAATCCATGTTCAAATCCAGCAAGATCAGAAAAATATCCAGCTTTGGGCTGAAAAGTAACAAGTAACATCCCCCCCACACAAATGCCAAGTAATGCCCACTTCAAATGAGGGAGAGAGACTAACCATCATCCCTCTACATCCAATGGTATTATCATCATTGAATCCTCCTTGGGAGTTGTCATTGACCAGAAACTAAACGGGACTGTCCTTATAAATACAGCAGCTACATCAGCAGACCAGAGGCTAGGAATCCTGCAGTCAGAAGTTCACCTCTCAAAGCCTGTCTATTATCAACAAGACATAAGTCAGGATGCTGCATCTGGATGAGTGCAGCTCTCTTAAAACAGTGAGGGGGTGAGTTGATGAAATGTATAAAATTCAGAATGGCCTTAACAAGGTGGACATGAAAAGGACATTTCTTCTTGTGGGTCAGTCCAGAACTAGGGCGCACTGTTTTAAAATTAGAGGTTATCCTTCAGGACAGAAATGAGGAGAATTAATTTTTCCAAGGTTTGTGTGACTTTGCAACTGTCTGCCTCAAGAAGGCAGTGCACATGGGTCATTAAATATTTTTAAGATAATTTCTTGTCAGGCAGGGAAATCAGGAAGTATTGGGGCTAGATGGGAATGTGGAATTCGAAACACAAGCAAATCAGCTATGATCCTATTGAATGTCTGAACGTACTCGATGGGCCGAATAGCCCACTTCTGCTTCTTTGGGTCTAATAGTATGAATATATAACCTAAGAACAATTTTCAATAAAACTCATAAGATACAATATCATAGCAATCAGATAATTTGTTTCTTAAAAGCGTTATTGGTAAAATCAGCTTCAACAGGTTTGAAATGTCCTGAAATTGTTGAAGGCACTTTATAAACACAAGCCTTTTTATCCTTCACACAAAAATTAACTTGGTTGCAGATATATCTTTTCTAGGGCTTTTTTCTTGTGTTTCTGACTTAGTCAATTCCATGTAAACCTTTTCTGATACCACAATAGCTCAAACCTGTGAACTGGGATGCAGCTCACAGAGATGGCTCCAACCAACTGAGCCACCACCGAAACTCCGTCAGAAGTGATTGCAATTGTAAGGTAATGGTTCTGAAGTGGTTAATGTTTGGGTCCACCCATTTCTTCTGATGAGTTATTTTCTAGCATTCTGAGGGAACTGATGAATCCAAACCAGTTCCCTAAGGTCCTAATAATTAGACCTCACTAAATATAGCTGCATATATCGCAATAAATTTTCTTAGAGTCTAAGATTTGTGCCTCCTCAGTAAAAAGTACAACACCAGGTTATAGACCAACAGGTTTATTTGAAAACACAAGCTTTCGGGGCTTAGCTCCTTCCCCAGGTATAGTGTGAGTTCCATACCCATGGGGACGGCCTCCATCATGATCTTGGGTCATATCACACTACAGTGATCCAACCTCACTATATACTCCCACACACACATACACGCACACTTTCTCACACACATACACTCCCTCACACTCACACTTTCTCAAGCGCGCGCGCACACACACACACACACACACTCACACAGAAACGCACATACCTGCACACATACGCACAAATTTTCTCACACACATACACTCCCTCACACTCTCACTTTCTCAAGCGTGCACATGCACACACACATGCACACACACAGACACACACACATACTTTCTCACACACATACACTCCCTCACACTCACACTCTCTCAAGCACACACACACACACACACACACGTGCCTGAGGAAGGAGCTGAGCTCAGAAAGCTTGCATTTTCAAGTAAACCTGTTGGACTACTAGTTGGTGTCGTGTGATCTTTGACCTTGGCCACACCAATCCAACATAAGGTGCTACATTCTGTACTCCTGACCACTAGATAGGTCCAAGACAAAGCACTGACAAAGGTGCCACTCACAGCACTCACCCAGAATGACATACTGGTAGAGGTGGCAAATATCACAAGGTACCAGGTACGATCATCTGGGAAATTACAACAGATGACCACGCCTGAATAGTAGGCTAAAGAAATTTATAGGACATCTGTTTGCAGCAGGATGATCTGCAAAGTAGATTAATCTTTGTCCTCTGTATATGTACATATAGGTTTCATTATTTATGTGTTAATGTTCTCAATGTCGGTCATGTCCAATTTGAGACATTTGAGTACTGAGTCCCATTCAAGCTCGCAGTACCATACAGTGCTGAAGTAGTGCTGTACTGTCAGTGTCTCTATCTCCCTCTATACAGCAACAAGGGAGTGCAGTACTCATGGTGAGACCAAGTCTGTTCACTAAAGTGGTCATAAAAAATCCTTTGGCCCTATTTTGAAAGGAGCAGTGATGTCCTGGCCAATATTTCTCCCTTAACCAATACTTTATCTGATCATTGCTGTTTCTCACAGTTTACTGCACTCAAGTTGAATGCTATATTTTCCACATTGTACCAAAGAATGTGCTTCAAAACTCATTCAGTGTCTGCAAAACATTTATGGATGGCCTGAGGTCATGAAAGGCATTACATATCTTTTGCCGTCTTTGCCAGGGAAAGAAAATTCAAACTGCAGTCCAAATTCAGATTAAAAGGAAGTGATGTACAGTGTGGCTACTTTATTAATGCATCTGATTCTGATCTACACCCAGTGATAGTTTAGGCACCGAAGAAAACTTCCAGCCAAATAATTTCATAGCTTCCAGAGAACCTGGAACATTTGACAATACATAATTTGAGAGATCAGACAGCTGTAGTAGGCATGGTAGAACAGGTTTATCAATAACTCTTGGTTGCTTCCCCAGGTTAGGAAGGCCATAACAAAGGTGAGCAAAAGCAAAAGTGTGGGTGGCTCAGTGGTTAGCATTGTTGCCTCACAGGGCTAGGGACCTGGGTTCAAATCCACCCTTGGGCAACTGTCTGTGTGGAGTTTGCATATTCTTCCTGTGTCTGTGCAGGTTTCCTCCCGCAGGCTGGGTGGATTAACCACGCTATATCATCCATAGAGTTCAAGGGTGTGTAGATTAGAGGGATGGGTTTGGGTGTGGATGCTCTGAGGGCCAGTGTGGACTTGATGGCTTGAAGGGCCTGTTTCAACACTGTAGGGATTCTTTTTTAAAAAAAAACACTAGGCTTTATTCCTGGAGGGGTAAAATTTGGAAGTAAAGATGTTATGCTAAACCTGTACTGAATCTTGGTTAGATGACACCAAGATTAATTGCCCTTGACCGGGATCTTCCTTCCAGTAGATGGCACCACTTAATTATGATCTATTCTTTCTCAGCGTTGTTTTTCTTAGCTCTTCACTTGGTGCTTCAATGTTAATGTTTGCCAAATAAGTAAATGAGCAGAGGCTACCTAACACTGTCATATTAATAACTACATGTCGAGTTGGACCTGAAGTTTAACATTTTTGTTTTTGAGTGCACTCTCAGCTCTGTCTCAGAAGTTCACAGGCTCCACGTCAGTGTGAAGCACAACATTTTAAGTTGCTGCTGAAGGTGTGCTGAACTGTTGGAGATACTGTCTTTTGGATAATACATTAAACTGGGACTCCATGTGCATTCTCAGATGGGCTTAAAAAGTCCTATTTCATTATTTCGCAAAAAAAGCAGGGGAGTTCTCTCCAACATCCTGGCCAAAATATATCCCTCAACCAATATCACAGGAACAGATGATTTGGTCTCAATCCCATTCCAATTTGTGGGAGCTTGCTGTGCATAATTATCACTGCCATGTTTCCTACATTATAATTGCTACAGTTCAAACAAGTGTTTTATTAGCTGGAATGCACTTTGGATCATCTTGTGGTTATATAAATGGAAATCTTTTCTAAAACAGATACTTTTCTAAAACAGAAATACTTCTGTTTGCGCTTCAGGCAGAATTCCAGAAGATAGTTGTTAGAAATTAAACCAAACCTTTTTTAGTAAGAGTGAAAGGCAACATTAAACTATGACAAACATACCTGATTTTAGTACGATGCGCTGGGCATTAAAGATAACAATGGTCAGTGTAAGACACCTCCATCATAGAGCTATAGAGTCACACTGTGCAGAAACAGACCCTTCGGTCCAACCAGTCCATGCCGAGCATTATCATAAACTAAACTAGTCCCTCCTGCCTGCTCCCGTCCCATATCCCTCCAAATCTTTCCTATTCATGTACTTATCTAAGTATCTTTTAAACATTGTAAATGTGCCCATATCCACCACTTCCTCAGGAAGTTCATTCCACATGTGAACCACACTCTGTGTGAAAAAATTTGCCCCTCATGTCTTTTTCAAATCTCTCTCGTCTCACCTTAAAAATGTGCGCCCTAGTCTTGCAATCCCCCATCCTCGGGAAAAGACAACAACCATTAACTCTAAGATAACAAGGTGTAGAGCTGGATGAACACGGCAGGCCAAGCAGCATCAGAGGAGCAGGAAAGCTGACGTTTTGGGCC